TTTGGTTTATAGTTTGATTTTATCCTCGCAGTTAAAATAAAGTTAAATTTACCACTTTTTTTTATTAACTTTACCATAACTATTCCTCATTTAACGGTATTTCCAAAATTGACTTCAATTATCTGAATCATATTTCTTATTTTTAATTCAATGCCCCAACCTTTTAAACGATAATTCATTTCTCTTTTACCTATTCTCTCAAATTTTCATATAACCTATTAACTACTCCTCCATCGTTCTTCATTCTCCTTCCTCCATTGTTCATTATTTTTAAATGTATATTCAGAAAAACGACGGGATGCTTTAATAAAGGATGGAAGGTTGTAAGTAGAAAAATCAATAGTTGTTTGAAAAAGAAAAAAGGGATCGAAGACATAGATAACATCATAGCTGAGAGAGATTTTGGGTATTAAAGTTGATTAGTAGTTTTAAGGTTTTGCCTCAAAGATTCAATCTTTGATTCTTCATGTTCCGACGAGGATGATGTTGATAAAATCCAAAAGGGTATATGAATTGAGTGTGTGTTAGTAATTTTTGCCTCAAAAGATTCAACCTTTGAATTTTTTACACTTTGTTCTTCTTTATTAATTTTTGCCTTGAGAATTTTTTAACGAGTTATTGAAAAATTCATTAGGTTCAGACAGATGCATATAATAATATTATGAGGATTATATTTTGAACTGAAAAGTTTAAAGATTTGTTCTTTAATGAGTCGGAATGAGTAAATAGAAATGGATATATGGTATTGGATTAATCGAGTTATTTCTTAAGGGGTCGGCTTATCGAGTTAAAAATAGAAAATAGTTTTTTAATTTTTTGGATAATTGGGTCAATTTTGAAAATTCCGTCAAATGTGGGGTAATTTTAATAAAATTGTGAAAAAAAGAATAAATTTAACTTCATTTTAATGATGAAAACAAAGTTAAATAATAAAACAAAATTGAGATATATTTTTAATCCTTTTCCCTAAAAATATTAACCAATATCACCGAAAAAGAGTCCATCTTTTTTTTATTTTTGTCTCCATTAAAGGTGTGTGTCTGCCCTTTCCAACTTTAATTTGTCTTCTTCATTAAACTCAAAGGTACAATTATATAATTTGTTCGACTCTATTTCCGACATATTTGTACGTACCGTAAATTGTAGTAATTTGTTTTAATCTTCACGTAATTTTATAAATAATGAAAAAAAAAATGATCCAAAGTACTTTTTAATTAGTATTTAATGTTTTTAAGTGAAACATGAAGCCATACATATAATTTTGAACATCCTATTAACTTTTTGGGATATTAACAAAAAAAATCAAAATATAAATATTATTTTTTTACGAAAATAAAATAGAAGTCATTTTAATTTGATATGTTATTAACGATTTTCGAATTACGAAAATATTCTAACTTTTCGATACCTCAAAATGACGGTGAAAATGGACCACTTGATATGTCGAGCACTGCACTATAAAATATTGCATTTATTCGGTGGCGATGCCCTTATTTTCTAATAATAATAATAATAATAAATCTGCTCTGAACTTCTCAGAGATTCTTTATAGGTATTATTGTCTTTTGAATCAAAGATCTACTAATTTGTTTAAATAATGGAATGCCTTTAATAATTAATTATGTCTAAAACAAAGATTTTACTATAAGACTAGCGTTATTTATTAAAATATATTTGACATAGATCTCTGTCCTTCTACCTATTCTAATTTATAGGGAAAATAAAAGCTGCACTGCCCAATGTTAGTCCATGGCTGATTTAGCTGTTTTTTATAATTAAAAAAAAAACATTTTTGGGCAATATTTGTAATAATATACTCCAAAATAAATGAATTTTACGGGTTTAAAAGTCAGTTTATTAAAGTACTAGTTAAGGAATTATTGGACGATATTAATTACTAGACAGGTTTTTGACATGTGTTATTTGCTTTTATTTAATAATTTTTTTCCTTTAAACTATGTCATCATGGAGCTTAATAATGTGTGTATATTTGAATTTATGTTTTTTTAAAAATAAAATAAATATAATTTTATCATTTTTCACAAAATTTAATGTAGGATTTTTTTTAAAAGCTTGAAAATTTAAAATTCCATAAAGAAGGTCACAATAAAACATCTAAACGCAGTTGATTCCCTAAATTTACTAATATGATAGTAAGAGCATGTTGGCTTGTTGTTCCTTTAATTACATTTGGTAAATTTAGAACGAAAATTCTTATGAAGATAAATTATTAATTAATTTATTAAAATATTAATTTTCATAAACTGATTTGGGCCCAATTTTGGGCTGATACAGAAGGCCCAAGATCTTTTCCACTGCCATACATAAACCTGGCAGTAGGCTTAGATTAGCCTATAGAAAGCTAGCCCAAGAACAATTTTTCTCTGTCCAAGCTATGAAAATCTGTTTGGGCCTATAAATAAAACCCAAAAAAAGCTATATTTGTGCAAATAGAGTCATTTAAGACCACCCTTTTCAATTATTGAGCAAACAACACAAATCTCGCTAATTTTCTCAGTCTAAAAAAAGGGCAAAGGATAAAAATTACATACTTTTGAGGCAAAACTGACATTTGTCTGTTATAAGCTTATAACTACAGAAATTTCTCAAAGTGATATATATAATAATATAAGCGCTGATACATTAATTTGATGAGCGAGATATATCAACCGTTAAGTAAGATGCATTCCATTTTATATAGGATACACTAATCTGCTGTACATTTTCATACATGATACCCTAATATGATGCGCTCATACATTAATCTAAGACTTGGTCCCTTTTAATTCTTATTTATAATTATACCTGATAACAATTTTCTTTAGTGTCTTAACGGAATTGCAAAAAATATATATACATATACATATGTAGGAATATTATCATTTGTGAATTGTTTTTGATCTAATCCGCATGAATCAATAGAAAAAGCAAATTCCTTATAATACATTAGATCCGGCTCAGTTGTTAATAACATCAAATCTGTCTTTCACTTTTGTATATATATTTCCTATTAATTTTCGATGAAATAATATCACGTGACACTTTTTAACCTAACATAAATCCGCCACGACTAATAAAGAATGAAAGAATATTTACAGTTACGCGTTTGTGTTTGATTTGTTAGAGTACTAACTATCCAATCTCTTTCCTCTTTTACTCTCCTCATTTGTTGTGGCTAGCGCTAGTTGAAGTACAACTAAACCATTTTTGAACCCCATTAAACAAATAAAAATAAGAAGAAAATTAAATATAATATATATATATATATATATTTTTAGTAGGTAGCCTATGAGGAATGAAAAATTGGTTTGTGCTTTGGGAAAGGGAAAAAAGAAAAAGGCAAGTAGTAGCTAGAGACATGTATATGTAAAAGCCTAGGACTGAAGCAAGCTATGTTAGTAAACATGAAATATCCAGAGCTATAGAGGTTGACTCTTTTGGGCATGCAAAAAATCAGTGGTTATTTTAATAAATTACAAATTCTGCAAACAGTTTGCATGACCATACAGAATACTTACTGCTCACACTCCATTCAATAGTAGTAATTAAAAAGCACTATATAATAATATATATATATATATATATATATTATATTTATTGTATATGGATTTATATGCTCATATCATTTCATAATAATGGCCATGCAGGTGGATACAGGGTGTGGGAGGAGTTGTACTGAACAATGTTGGAAATTTGGATCAAGTGGGATTAGCTAATATATTTTATCATTACAAGAGAAATATTGGGATCGATGAAAGTAGTGGTAGACTGATAAATATTTCTTTGTTTTTTATTAGAAGTTTTAGATTTGAATTTTCACAAGTGAAGAAGCTCTTTTTGAGCACTTTTTTTTAATTTGACTTTGATAACAAATATCGAATAAAAAATAAGAGCAAAAAAATTGTGATATGTGGGATTTTGATGAATATAATAAAACAAAGTTAAAATTTTACTTTAATCAATTTAATCTTAGTCATTAATTTTTATGTATGCAATGTGTATTCGTTCCAAACAAGAACTTGGAGAAAATAAAGAAAAAGATTTTTTCGTAATGATAAAAGGAAAAATCATTTTTAGAAAGAGAGAAATTTTAGATATATTTATTAATTAAAATCATTTTTACCTAGTATTATGAGATTGACATTAATTAGGAAATATTATAAAGGAATTATTTGTTATTCTAATCATGGTTAGGAGTTAGGACCTTAATTTAGGTATTTATATCTCAATATTTAATTTTTAATTATAAAATATGACTTTCATTCGGATAGAAATTTGGAAAAATAAAGAGAATGAGTAATGGAGATGAGCCTCATTTAGATTCACAAAATATTTAATTAATAACACAGCCTCAATAAAGAATTAGTAAAAAACAATCATTCTTCTTTGTAAGTTAACTTATCACTCTATTAATTGCTCTATATTATCGATTGTGTAGTTTCACATCAAATATAATTGAAACAAAACCAAGGTATCATGACATTTCACTCAAACAAAGGCATATGATAATAATAATAAAAAACAATGAGCTTTTTTAGAATAAAAGCAATTTTTTTTATAAAATAAAAATATCTAATAAAATATTTGAATTATCATGTGTTCCAAATGACGTCTCTTCGATAAATTAGAACAAAACGATCGATTCAGTGGAGAGCATAGTGTAGCATAGGAGACATAGATAAAATGACTATCAACGTACAAAAGCCTTTCATTATAATAATTTACTTTTATGCTCTGATACCAATTGAGATGGCTTTTTCAGGGATTGACCTCTTCCCTATTCTTGAGTCAATTAAAAATGCAATATAATTTAAGTATCTAAATAAAAAAAATTATGATAAATTTTAAAATTAATTTATGTTACAATTTTTTTCTTAATTTAAAAGACGGTTCAAGCTATTTTAGCTGAACAAACCACATTACAGCAAAATCGAGCCCAAAGAGGAACCCGGTCCAACACTTAACTTCGGTCTACTTAATTAGGAAATAAAAAATTGAAACAAAAAAGGAAAGGGAAAAAGAGAAAGGGGATCTCGAGTAGCTCATCATCTTCAAACCTCCATTATCGTGCTCATTCCGTCTAGCTTTCTCCAGATACATGAAATAACTCTATCAGTACATATGGTTTTGGGTGTATTCCACCTCGAACGTTGTCTAGTCTCACCAACATCATGACATCATCCCAATCGAAGACTTCTCCAGCTCAGAGTACTTTCTCAAAGCTTCAAATCAAGTGATAACCTCACACCCTTTGAATGCATATTATCTTGTTCAACACTTACCTAATTCAATGACCTCGCAACCTTCATCCCTTAACTTTGACAGGTTAAGCCCATCAAAAAGCTAATATCATCGTTGAAAAATTTGCGACAAAGTTACTGCCGTCAGGTACTTTTCTTGTTCCGTAAACTCATGATTGTTATTTTGTCGTTATATCTTTGTATTTGATTTTAGCTTGCTACATTCGCATTCTTCATAATATTTTATTTTCTTTAGCTTGAGATAACTACTTCATTATATGTTATGATCTTATATCATCTATTTTGTGCATATTTTTCAATCTAAAACTTCCTTATCCTTAAATTAGGAATTTGTCTTTTATCCATGTTTAATAATGTCTTAGCTTCATTAGGTAAAGCTTGAAAATTATTTTAACTTTGGTATCTGCAAAAGAAAAAAAAATTAATATTAGCCAGCTTGTTTTCTTCTCTCAATGTGTGTACAATTGCCACCTCCAACCCATTCTATAGAACTTGTATTCTTTTGGTCTCCATTGTTGCCTCTCAAGGTTTGTGGCAAATCACTATGGAGTCATTAAGATATTTATTTATCGATTTCTATTCATTCTAAACTGCTTTAGATTTAGAACCATTCCTTTTCCAACTTTTTTATTTGTAGACATGCTACATTGTTAAAAAATCATTAAGATATCGTTTTATCGATTATTATTTATTAATCATTATCGACTTGGTTATTAATTTAACCATTAAGATTTCACACACACAAAAAAAAACCCATTCAAAATCACTTAAAAAACAAGGTAACAAAGTAAATGAAATAAGTTGACAAATTACACATCTTGCTCATAAACAAATACGAACCATTTAGCTTGTGAAAGTAAAAAACGAAAGTATAAAACTAAATACAAAATCAAACATTATAAATATCTCAAATAATATAAATATAATTTATCAATTTACACCGATTTAAAAAAAAATAAAATCTCATACCATTAAAGATCAATAACCCATTTACCTATTGTAATGAAAAAAAAAAAGGTTAAGTTAGATTAGTGTTTTGAGGATTGTGGAGATGGGGAAGGAGGCAGTTGGTATTGAGAATAAGTGTGAAAGGGAGAGGACAAAGTAAGAAGAATAAATGAGGGGTCAAGTGATGAGGAGCTTATCATAACCCTCATCATCGTCACGTCGTTTTTCATTCACATTTATCGATAACCTCTTTCTCTTCCTTCTTCATCTCTACCTTGTTTCTCCCAGAATTCCACGCCTTCCTTCTCTTTCTTTCTTTTTGTTTCATTCTCTATTCCATCCATTTTGCTTTTCCTTCAATTCTCTGTCCTATTTGTCTCCTACAAAAATTCATTACATATCCTACTAAACCTAAGTATTTATTAAGCTAGTCAACCTCATGACTTTTGTTTCAATGCAAACCAACACCATTCCTTCTCTCTCTTTCTGTCTCTATTGTTCCATCTCTTTCTCCTGAATCTTGACAAATTCCTTGTGTTCAGCTCCCTTAAAAGTCACCCAATTTCATTCTCTCTTTTACTTTTATTTATGTAACGAATTTCTTGCCCTTGATCTTACTCAAAGGAACAAGCAAAATTTGTTTCGCTTTTTTTAGGTAATCAAAGACGAAGAGAAATGTGGATGATGGGTTACAATGAGGGAGGAGATTTTAACATGTCGGATTCGTGTAATGGAAGAAAGCTTCGTCCACTAATGCCGAGAGTGCCTCATGCGCCTACGGCGAATCCAACGAATTGCTTAAGAAATTTTCATGGAGAAAACTTTATTGCACTTAATCATCATCAGCTTGGTAAATTAATTTTTATACATAGACATGTCTTTCTACTTTTTCTCTTTTTTGCCTTTCCTTTCCTTTACTGCATGCGTGACACTGATACTTCTTCCTGCATAGAAAACTCTATTTTATCGACAGATCTAAACATTTTTAATTTTTTTTTTGCATTCAGCTATGAGTGAGCAAAATAAGAGAGATTTCAATACGCAATTAGTAGTGAGCTCACGTTGGAATCCAACTCCAGAACAACTGCAAACGCTGGAAGAGTTGTATCGACGCGGCACGAGAACTCCGTCAGCTGAACAGATTCAGCATATCACTGCACAACTTAGACGGTATGGCAAAATTGAAGGAAAAAATGTTTTCTACTGGTTTCAAAATCATAAAGCAAGGGAACGCCAAAAAAGACGCCGTCAACTTGAATCTTCTGCTAATGGGAACGGTAATGGCGGTGGTGGTGATGATCAGTCTCAGAGTAATTGTAACGCTGAAAATGCTGAAAGAAAAGAATCAGGTAAAGATTTCAACAATTTCTTAAAATATTTATTTAAATTATATGTGTGATAATCTTAATTATCATGACGAAGGGAATATTAATTTTTTTTTATTTTCTGAGGAATTCATCAGAATGGTAGCGTGAGAAGTACATGAGCATGCAAGTTAACAAAAGACGACATGCGATGAGAATGATACATGAAAGAGAGAAATCTGTTTGATAGTGTGTGATGATACACTAAATATTCTCTTTTTTTTTTTTTTTTTCTCTTGCTATGCTATGACCACTTTGTATTATTTTGTTGTTATTCAAAGATATATTGTAAAGTTGCAATTTGAGATATGCTTTTTCTTCCATTCCGATTGTTGCTTATTAGAGATGAAAAAGTTTCTTTACTCTTATTTTTTGTTTTTGTGTTTGTCCTCGCAGGGGCAAATAGGACAGTTTTTGAAATTGAACAGACCAAGCACTGGCCATCCCCAACAAACTGCAGTACTCTTGCAGAGGTCCTTCCTCCCCTCCTTCCTTTTCTCTTTCCTTAGACTCTTCCATTCTCTTTTTCATAACCAAAAAAGCAAATTAACATTCTCTAAACATGTCATTATGTTGTTATGATTTGTAAAAATAAATAAATAATCAACACATTATTTCTTGGAAAATAGGAAAGTTGTTTAAAAGCTGTACTGAGTCTATGAGAAATAGGGTTTTGGGATTTTGTGCTTTAGATATTTCATTAAAAAAAAAAGTGATGGATATGGGCACCCATGATCCGATCTCTCTAGTCATATCACGAAAAGACGTTTGCATAACCTCTTCCGTGAAATTTGACTTTGCTTAGGTATATGCTCTATCAAATCAAAATTGTATGCTATGTACCTCTAGCTATGGTCAAAATAGGTTTGTTACTTTTTTTTTTTTTCATCACTAGTTGCATGGAATAGTTGATAATCTTGCAATAAATATTGATGCAGAAAACTGCAGCAAAAACAAAGGCAGGTGCAGCATCGGCAGCGGCAGGGGCAACAGCAGCAGGAGTTGCAGAATCATGTAGAGTAGCAGCAGCAGAAAGATGGATACCATTCGACGAAGGAGAACAAAGAAGGAGCTTATTAGCAGAAAGGAATGCCACGTGGCAGATGATGCATTTGTCTTGTTCACCACCCACCATCAACAACAACACCAATTGTGCAACAATTTGTAGTAATACTATAACTACTGCAACTTGTACTCCAATTATAAGGAGTTGTCCATCAACGCCAACAACAATCGACCATCAGACAAAACAACTTTTCAAGCCCAAAGATCATCTCAACATCTTTATAACACCTTTTAGATGTGATCAAAAACACCAAAACATCATCGGAGACGAAGAAGAAGAAGGCGAAGGCAATGGTCATGAAGCACAGACTCTTGAATTATTTCCCCTCCGTAGCAGCAATGACAACAATGATGAAAATAATTTTTCAGACAAGGATGAAATAGGAGCTGCCGCGAACTTGAATAATAATTTTAATGGCAGTCATTATCAGTTTTTTGAGTTCCTTCCACTCAAGAACTGAAAAATATCTAGACATGAGTCATTTAGATGTTGACTGTTTATGTAACTTGAAATTTATGATCCCTATTATTAGCTATAGCAATGATGTTGTTCAATGCGATGTAACTTTTATTGAAATCAAAGATTGCCTTAAAATGCATTTGGACCATGTTGCTGAAGCCCTCAAATTAAATTTAACATGATATCAAAGTCGGGTTTGATGTGGAGCCCCTGACCGGTGCGGTCTCTATATTTTCCAAGTTTATGATTTTGCACGATTGGATCGGGATAAGATCTTGAAACTCTTTATATTGTTTAGCCAAAAATAATTACTTTAAGTACTCTTATAAATTTAATCTCTCTGTTGATCTTGAGTCTGACAACTTAAAGATGTTGAAAATTAAAATATATATGAGAGATTAGCATTTTGAAGACATTAATAGTAATAATTTTAACAGTTCTCTCAAGTTAGCATATATATATAATAGGATATGTTGTGTCTACATCTACTGATTAATTATAAGGAAACACTTTACTTTATGCTTCAGTTTATTAAGAAATGTGAATATGTTAACGAGTCTTTTCTTTACTTAATTTGGGGGTGGGACATGGGAGACCAATTAACACATTTATCTTAAATTAATCAACTAGGCCAGTGCCAATTATTATTATAAATATGTATGTATACTACAATATCCTTATATTTTTGAACACCCTAGTCGTACTTAAGATAGTTTTGTTGAGTTAGCTAAACTTTTTCTTAAAAAATGATATAATTACTAGACAAACCTTATTCTTTAATAATATATTATATACCCAATATTAGTTCAAATGTCATGCAATTCACTTTCTAGAAGGGATGTTAGTCCATGTGTTAATGTAAAAACTTGTGAACTTTTTAACTCTAATTTAAAATGATATGATTGATGGCATAATTTAAACAATGTAGGAGAGTAGATTTTATATATATATATATATATATATATATATATATATATATATATAGGGGCGGAGCAACCTTCTGAACCCCTTTTTTCAGAAAATTATATTATTTACATGGTTAAAATAAATTATTGCATATATAGTAGTGTCGAACCCTCTTCAGCTATCTATTTGTATAGATTTTGAACCCTTTATTGAAAATCTTGGCTCCGTCTCTATATATATATATAATTTCAAAGTGTGTTTTTTTATACAATATTGAACAATTTTCACAGTGTAAATTAACTTTTAAAGTTGATTTAAATACGAATTCAATTTTCTCAATTAAAATTTCTAATTTCCACGTACCTTTTAAGAGGTAACGCATGGAAGAGCGATGTTTTCCAATAAATAGGTGTAGTTGCTTTCTACACAAAGTTAGAAAAAACAGTTAATTAAGAAGAAGTTGACACGTACATGCAAATTCACAGTACTTATTTTAAAAGAAATCAGAAGAGCAATTAGATGACAAAAAGAATTATCAAAAATACAATCAGAATGAATGAGAGGGATAACTTTTGAATTAAACTCAAACTGATAACAATAAAGAGAAAGAAAAAAGGCAAAATTTAAAGCCTGTAAGGTTTGTTTCAGGCTAGGGTTTTCATTTTTCATGTCCTAATTTTTTTGATGTCCGATATTTACTAGAGCCTGACTAATTTAGATTTGTATCCCGTAAAATCTCGTAAAGGAAAAGCCATTCTTACCAAAAGAAAATTTCATATCTAAACTTTAAATTCAAAATCTCCGGAATAATAACTTCATCGGTCCCACGACATCGTTTATATTGTGGTCCTATTTTTCTTTGGTTGTATTTATTTTTCTTGTTTGGCAGCAGTGGTTAGTACCTTTTTGTTGTCTAAGACAATTCGTGAATTTTCTTGGAAACTAAAGGAGACAACACTCTGGATTTTATTGCATACACTGAATTATTGCTTACTTTTTTTTTTTAATTTTTATGTTTGATAAAATAACTTTTTTGACTTTATCTACATACGTGGACCATACAATATTATTAGAATCGATGAGGCATGACGGATAATATAGTACTACGTAGTGTGGTTTTGTGAGTGTATTTGTAGCTAATCAACTCTTTGTACCATCATGTATTTACACAATACCATGCTTTCATATTTTCATATATACTATGCATGTGTACTCTTTTTTTTTGTTCAATTATTTGAGTTGATTCAGCATCATCACTAGTACTGTTTTAATTTTATCTCTTTTATTCGTTTTTGTTGGTTGGTGGGATATGAATATGGCCTATGGGGAGTGGTAATATGTTTTTATCTCTCGTTCATCGTCTACTTCATAATTTTGATGAAACTATAAATTTTTATAAAAGATAAAAATTTCATTCTGAAAGATCGCACACGTGTATTTTCTATTGTTTGTAGATCATAGCAACAAAGATGCAAGAAAATATAACGAAGTTTACGGATATATTAGCAAAACTCGCCTTCATGATAAACATTTTTAAGGAATTTATCGCAACATCATATAATAGAACGAGTAACCCGATGAATTTATTACAACATTATAGAACTTTTTGAGTTGACTACTAATATGTTCAATAATGATCTGTTGGCCCTAGGAAGGGTTTATTGATCGACATGATTGAAATATATTGAACACCAAACGTATTTCAATATGCACTGCTCATTGAGATTGAGATTTTAAATAGTTCGCCGATTGAGCTATATTCTAATTGTAATTTGCATGCTACCTTTATATTAAGTGAAAATTTTGGCTTGATATTTTAGGGTAATTCATAAACAAATTTTATTTAATGAAATAATTATAAACTAGGTAAATTTTTTTTTTTAACACAAAATGTAAAATATTAGGTGAGAGAGACTAGTCAAGAGGGAGCAAGCCCAATTATAATTAATTACCACCACACCAGTACTTGTCTTTGTACGTCATGAACTCGTACAAGGCAAGTCGGTGGGTTCCGATCATCGTATTATTTGTATCAAAATTATTTTTATTCCGATTAATTTAAATTTACATTATTAAAAAGCAGTTAAACGTCTTTCGTATGAGACTTATAATCTAAATTTTGCATCCTGTTAATTTATGCGTGATGAAACTTATAATCATGATAAATATTCATGTTGCTCAACATTTCAATGAATTTATAGAGAAGCAAAGGATCTGTGAGATTAGTTTTAAATGTGAAAAATTTGTCAAACAATAAATTACTAATTAGTATGTAGTTTCTTGAAATTATTGGATCTTTTTTAGTTGTATTTTTGTTTGTTTTTAATTATAGTTTTATTACTTTGAATGTTTTGTTAATATCAGCGTAACTTTTTTATTTGCAACTTCTTATAATAAAAGTTTACGGTTGATGTGAGCCCCATCACAACAAATTTTCGAGTAAAAAAAGGAAATATTTTAGTACTACACAAATGTATATAATTTATTGTGAAACAAAAACTTAAAATCATTGAATCAATACAACTTTAAAGTTACAAATATTAATAATATTTATCAGGTTATTATTTTACACTTGATGCGATAATTTACAGTATACCACACAAATATATATAATTTTTCTTTAGATGGATTTTTTAAAATTATTTTTTTTTAAAAAATTATAATAAATATTGTGTCCTTGTACCGCATGATTTTTCCCTTACAAGCTATAATTAAAAGAAAATAAAAATAATGTTAAATGATATTCAACACTATCTTAGGATAAGATCATCAATCAACAAATGAATAATCTTTGGATTTTCTATTTCATAATGTAGTTTTAATTAAAGGATTAGAGAAAAACGCATCATAACAAATAACTCGATATTAGCTGATATTTACATTCTCTCAAACATTAACACATTACATTTACAAAATCTCCCAAAAATTAAATAAATTCCATGACCAAATATTTATTTTCAAAATCTATGTTCAAACGAAACCTCGGAAAATGTATGAATATTAACAGAATAAGGTTTGAAAGATGCTATCAATTTCGTAAACCTGTAGAGATTTGATTCTTTTTTTCTCTGATTGTACTAAATAAATTGTATAGAAGACTTTGATTTTTCAACATATATCTTTTTATTTTTATGCTAATTATAATTCAGGCAAAGGACAGAAATCTGTTTATATGGAAGCTGTTACAGAAGATATACATTTACAACTGCAAAAATATAAACTAACAAATAAAAAGAGTGTTGCAGGGAGAATCTTGTCCATGCCAAATTGTACTTTTTGCCTTCTTCTTACTCTTTAACTTTTTACCTTGACTTGGATAAAAAGTGCTCTATCTTTTCTTCAAAAAGTGACTTACAAATCTTTTTTGTCCACAAATCATATTATACTATATAGTTTTTACACAAATATTTTTTTTATTCTATTGTATCATAATCTTCTTTTGCTTTGTTTGAATATATATTTGTGCTAATCCTAAGTTTTCCCTATAAATAATTCAATTCCTTAGCCACGCGGATTGTTCATTTTCCTAGGTAGTATTAGTTACTACTTTTCTACAACCCTAAATTTCATGTTCACTTAAGCACAACAACATTGTACTAAAAATTTCACTTTTTGCACTTTCTCTAAGTAAATTTCATAACATGCAATATTATTAGGGTTTGAATTTACTGAATTCTATTGAACACGTAATTTCGTGCTTAGTTGAGTTAAATTTGACATATAGCAATTATTTTTGGGTCTACTTGAACATTCATTACATTAACAATGCAATTTTTGGGGGTTTCAAAGTAAGTTGTATGCATTATTTTTATTTCCCTATATTCAAGGCTCAAACCCCAAAAATCTCTTGATTAGTCGAGGATCGAGTTGAAAGATCATAATTCTCCCACTCCACCATTGGCCTTATTATTTACTCTATCAATAAAAAAAACTTTTATCATTAAATTATTCCTTCACTTGATATAGTATATATATTTAAGTAATGACATTTATTTGGTTGAGAACAAGTTATTCCGAGACTGACTAATATCTCAAATCTAAAGTAGGATAAAATAATCTTATACCTCACAGCAAACGACTCATGTGAGTGAATTAAATAATATATGGAGGAAAGATAACAAAACTGATTGGGAGAGGGACAATACAAAGGGGGCAACTGTCAAAGGCATAAATAAGGCAGGCAAAAGGATGCAGAAGTTTCTCTATTGTAGTTTAAATAAGTGATCACGTCTTGTCTTTCTTTATTTCTCTCTCTACTGAATTTTTTTATAGTGTGTATATATATATATATATCATGAGATCATCATGTGAGTACTCATTCTGTCTCACTTTCTCTCTCTACAAAACCCTGGCTAATATATAGCTGTAAGAATGTTAAATGAAAGAATGCCACCACCACACAATATGAAAACGATAGACCACTGCAAACCCTCATTCCTACTGGTCCATTCAACCCCACCCCCACCCCTTCTATTTTATTTTTTCACGAGATAATGATAAAATCACTTGCATATTATCGTCTTTTGATTCTACGTATGTATATATTATCGTATACTATTATACTCACATTATTTGAAGTACTGTTACTATATATGAAAATTGAAGGAGTTATAATATTCTATTCATCTTATTTTATGTGAGATAGTTTGACTTGACACAAAATTTAAGAATGAAAGAAAGATTTTTAAAACTTTTGGTATAAAATAAATGATAGAAATTTGTATGACTAAAAATCATTTCATTAGGAATAAAATAGACATTTTTAAAGTTAAATTGTTATTTAATATAGAAATATGTCATTCTTTTTTCTGATTATAAGTCACATAAAATGAGACAGATAGATAGAGTAATAAACAGACGATATGTAATGCCTCTTTACCAATAGGGAGGAGTCTTGGTACGTACATCGGTTTAGTTGAATGCTATAAGAGAAGAAGTAGAAATGTTCAATTCTACTCAATCTCAAATTATCTCCACGAAAAGTCTAACACTTTTATTTGGATTATTGTTATCCATTGTTTCATAATGCATTGTATTGTATTGTACTCTATTGTATGGTAGATAAAATGTTTGGTTAGACTGTATTGTTTGTTGTTGTTTAATAAATAAAAGAATGCTGTAAAATGTTTGTGTGTATTGTAATTTAATTTCGTATTCGAAGAAAAAATTTGGTCATCTATAATAAGTTTTACAAGAATATTAGTGAAACATAAATAAATTTGATTATCAAAATAATAATTATAAATTAGTCATTAAAACAAAAAAAGTCAAAAAAAATATGTTTGACAAGAATTAAATTTACTCATATGGGATTATATTTTTTAGAAAAAAAAATAAAAATTTAGATTAATTTTTTTTTCATTTCCGTTAGAGGAAAAGGGTATATGTGGACCATTTGTTTACAAGTAGGGGTATATATGAGCCACTTTTATAACGAGGGGTATATTAGACCCTTTTCCCTTTAAATAATTAAGATAAATGGTAAAATAGTATTTTGATATATTATGTAAATAAATAATTGAAAAAAGAAATTAAGTAACAATGGGAACACACTAAATTGGTTGTTCCATAAAATAGGGGTTTTCATTCTAATAATAATCCAAACAAAAATTATGGTATAATAAAAATAAAATACAATACAATTGATAATAATGATCCAAACATAGCGTAAAATGTCTCGGTAAAATATTTGTAGCAAGCAGTCCTTAATTAACACTTGTAGCAAGCAGTAATTTGGGCCACCTAACAGCTTAATGGACCCTCATGAAAGTGTGGTCCAGTCCAATATACCGAACACCGAAGGCCCAAATTCAATTATATCAGGCAGTTAGAAGCAGATTGCACTGTTCTTAAATTTGGGCCTAAAAGATTCCAGGCCCAAAAGGAACACACAAGGCCCAGGGAAATTGTGCCTTCAATGACATCGAGGCTGATGGTCAGTTAAATTCGATAAGCCAACTCATAAAAATGAAATCTTTTGTTACTCAACAAACGAAGATATAGATTAAGAACAATTTTAATCATGTATAAACATTATGATTTTCCATGTCCGTCGTTGGTAGCGACAACATTAACAAGGTGAATTTATAAATAGCTATTTTTAATCATGTAATATAAAAATAAGTCATTTCCTTAATTTCTTTAAAACTCTCAATTTACATAACTTGCTCTGGTGCTGCAGTATTACCTACCATGGCTAGATAATCATGTTCATTTGTCAAGCAATAATTTATCCATTATCTAAAACAGTTCCAAGAAAAGAGTTAAAGAGTCGGTCTCAATAATAAATAATATAAGAAGAATGAAGCGGCATAACTACTTACCTATATTCACATAATTATTGAAGCACCAACAACAAATTAAACTTTCATTATTATAGAAAATAAGATTAAATCCTTCTATTTTTAATTAAAGATTTTCAATTTACATTGAGCAAATACATTTGGTGCTAATTTTAATTAATCTAACTACTCCATCTATCACAATTTATGTAATATTAAACACTATCAACATGTCATGTATATTGAATCCTACTTATAAAGTCCTCGAAACAAAAATATCTTTTGTGAACATTACAAATTCTTTTCGTATTTCATAAAATTGTATATTCAATTAAACTAAAACACGTAGATATATATATTAGTAACGGACGGCACATCTCAAGAGAAAAAGTCACAAATGGCAAAGTTTGGTCATGAGAGGCCACACACAAAATATCGATTGTTATATTTCAACAGGACGGACACTTCTTAACCGTTGGATCAAACCAATGAAAACTTGATCATTATTTGTATATAAGGTCCTGAATATCTATCGATTCAAATTACTAAAAATTTGTGTGAAAAAAAATAAATTGAAAATGCGTGAGATTCTTCATATTCAAGCAGGACAATGTGGGAATCAAATCGGATCAAAATTCTGGGAAGTTGTATGTGACGAACACGGGATTGATCCAACTGGAAAATACTGTGGAGATTCAGAATTGCAGCTTGAAAGAGTTAATGTTTATTACAATGAAACTGGGAATGGACGTTACGTGCCACGGGCAGTTCTCATGGACCTTGAACCTGGTACTATGGACAGCATCAAATCAGGTCCATTTGGTCAGATTTTTCGCCCTGATAACTATGTTTTCGGACAATCTGGTGCTGGAAATAATTGGGCGAAAGGACATTATACTGAGGGTGCTGAACTTATTGACTCTGTTCTTGATGTTGTTCGAAAAGAAGCTGAAAACTCCGATTGCTTACAAGGTTAATGAAGCAACTATTTGATCCTTCATATCCTTATTGTTAACTCTCATACTCAAAAGTAAATTTGAACTTGTTCTCTTAGAAAAAAAATCTACTTTTGTTATTTTTATGATAACACGAGAAATGTGAATACAGGATTTCAGGTGTGTCACTCACTTGGAGGAGGGACAGGATCAGGAATGGGGACACTGTTGATATCAAAGATCAGAGAAGAATATCCAGACAGAATGATGCTTACCTTCTCTGTTTTCCCATCTCCAAAAGTCTCAGACACAGTGGTTGAGCCTTACAATGCTACACTTTCTGTCCATCAACTTGTTGAAAATGCTGATGAGTGTATGGTTCTTGATAATGAAGCTCTCTATGACATCTGCTTCAGGACTCTCAAACTATCCACACCAAGTTGTAAGAACATGATTAATATCCGGTCATTGAACTTTATTCACTATAGTAAAGTCACAAAAACTATATTTAAGTAACTTAATTTACAACAAAGTCTATCTATCAAGGTGACTTCTAGTGGGAGCATCGGATTGCCTTATTTTCTTTCTGGTTATAGTGAGGACAGTTCAGTTATTTTAGTATGAAACAAGATAATTTTGTGACTTTACTGTTACAGAAGAGAATAGTCGGTTCTAATTCATCTGTTTTGTTGTTGTGATCAGTTGGAGACCTGAATCACCTGATTTCAGCAACAATGAGTGGTGTGACATGTTGCTTGCGATTCCCTGGCCAGCTGAATTCTGATCTTCGAAAACTAGCTGTGAACTTAATCCCTTTCCCAAGGCTTCATTTTTTTATGGTTGGATTCGCGCCTCTAACATCAAGAGGATCTCAGCAATATCGAGCACTTACAGTCCCTGAACTGACGCAACAAATGTGGGATTCCAAGAACATGATGTGTGCTGCTGATCCAAGACACGGCCGTTACCTCACAGCATCAGCATTGTTTAGAGGCAAAATGAGCACAAAAGAAGTTGATGAGCAAATGATGAATGTGCAGAACAAGAACTCTTCCTATTTTGTGGAATGGATTCCGAACAATGTCAAATCCAGTGTTTGTGACATACCACCTAGAGGGCTTTCGATATCTTCAACATTTATTGGGAATTCAACTTCAATTCAAGAAATGTTTAGGAGAGTGAGTGAGCAGTTCACTGCAATGTTTAGGAGAAAGGCATTTTTGCATTGGTACACTGGAGAAGGGATGGATGAAATGGAATTTACTGAAGCAGAGAGTAATATGAATGATCTTGTGGCAGAGTATCAGCAGTATCAAGATGCCACAGCTGAAGAAAACAGTGATTATGAAGATGAAACTGGAGAAGATTAAAGGTGTTCGACCAATCTGCTATTACGTATGTTACGTGCTGCTGTGAACCTGAAACTCCACTAGATTTATGTTTTCTCTACTATATTTGTACTGTGTTTATGCATTTCTGATACTGTGAACCTCTTACCTATTTACTACTTTTGTTCATTCAAAAGGTGTTAATGGCAAGAACACAATGTATTGTATCCTTGTCATGACTTTGTACCTTAAAGGATTCTACTCTAGTGAGTAGAATTTGATCGCAAAATTTACCTGATATATGTTGAAGACACTTCTTAAGTTTGTGTGCTCGCATATGTTAATTCAAAACAAATAGTGAGTACACAACTTTCTGCAAAGAATTTCCTTCTAAATGAATTGGATCATGTCACATGATAATTACTTCTCCATCCTCCCTTTAGTGTCAAAGAAAGGGGTGCTTGCAACACTATCAATAGCTTTAATCTAACAATGAAAAGTAACTTTGTAAGATAATAAGTATTAGTTGAATGATCAGCAGGCACGCATAGAGAAAGCTGACAATTCCCAACTCGCACAACACTAGTTAAACATGGTGTGACAGAACAAATGCACAACACATGATGAAATATGAAACTCATAAAGAATGCGACGTGCATCAAAATCTAAAGGAATAATGACAGCAAATGAAGAACAAATTTGTCCAAGATGAGGGAAGAGTATGCTAGTAATATCTTTTATCCCTAAATCCCTGGTAAAACAATTATTACATAGAACTGGAAGAAATGTTCATACTCTAGTATATAAATGGAAATAGATCCACCACACGTTTGGATAAATCATTTCTTCTTGGCAATGAACAAGCCCCACCTCTGCTCACCAGATGAACTCCTGATTAGCTTGGACTTCCAACCTCCAACTATTTCATTATAGTCTTGCTGTAATATTTTAAAATAAGAAAATCAATCCACAAAAGATGAGAAAAATTAAAAGATACAAATTACAAAGTGTATCATATAATGAAGCACTCACTTCAGAGAACTCATGGATAAAAGATTCTCTTTCCTTCTCCACAGTATCTAACTCCTTTTGCAGAACCTTAATGAACTGCAATGCAAGTGCAGAAATTAGGTCTGTATCAATATATTACTAGCCTTGCAGATCAGTTTAAGACAAGATCTGTAAATTACATACCTGTTCAGTACGATCCTCGGCCACAACTTCATGAAAACCCGCATCTCTGAGCATCTATATGAACGGCACAAGTAAAATTCAAAGAAGCAGTCAAACAATAAACACGAGGCAAAAAAGAGGAGAGGGCCTGTTACATGGAATGAGTATATACCTGCCCATATGCTTCAACATCATGTAAATCATACCCCCTTTGCTTAATATAACCTTCGAATTCTTTTGATGCTGGTCCAGCTCTTTTGCAGTAATCACTTATAAGAACTTTGCCTCCTGGTCTCAGCCACTTGTAGAAAGATCTGAACAGTGCAGGTTTGTCCTGACATCACACCATTGAAACAACAAACTATAAAGATATTGACTTCAACAGTGAACGGTTTACGGACAAAGTGAGGGATAATTTGGGTGGTGTAAGGTCCTTCCATCACTAAGGAAAAAAAATTAGCAAAATAAATTGATTTCAAAAGAGTTGTAAGATGACCAAGAAGATGAGATGACATGACATTGTGCCTAAGTTGACTGCAGAAGAATACATACAGAAAGGACAACTTCTACCACAGAAATTGCAATTAAGTACTTGGTATAACAATTGAAGAAAGAACCAAGTGGAATGAAAATAAGTAGAATAAAGAAGATAATTAGTTGAAAAAGATTTAGAAACTCTGGTGAATTACCTGGATGTGAAGGATAGTATCCCGACTGTATATGACATCAAATGTACAATCAGGATATGTTTTCTTGGTGCAATCAGCAACCTCAAATTCAACAGCACACTTGAGACCAATAGCACGCTCAAGAGCAAAAGATATCATGTTGATAGACAGGTCAATGCCAACAACATGAACATCATACTTTTCAGCCATGTAGAAGTTACCTCCTCCAATGCCACAGCCAACATCAAGGACTTTTTGGCCACGCTGAAGATCCAACATGGCTACAAATTCTTTTGTAGTTTCTGCTCAATAACAAGTACAGCTCAGAAACTAAATGATTGGAAAAGAACAAAATAACATTGCATCAAGAGAGAAGACACACTTGCAAGCAGATATCCCCACAGTACCAAGTGCACACTCTGCATAAGTCCTCACCACAATTACAGTGAAACAAAAGAAACTTAGCAAGTATAACCTTGAGAGTCTAAGGGCCATTTTTTCAATAAGGTAAGGGCTTAAGGTCTAAGGAAATTATTGGAGAACCAATAAATAGGGGTTGAAATTCATGGAACCTCTGGACACTCAAAGGTTTATTGGGTTCTCCCATTTAAGTTAAATGGTGAAGGCATCTATGGAAACAAAGTTTTTGTCTTGTGCCAAACGCATGGTTGGTTTATAGACATAGATCTAGTCTCTAGTATGATGAATGAAAGTTGTATTATCTCCCACTGGTAGTCCCAAGATTGTAAAACACGTATTTACAATCCCTCTACAGTAAACAAGACAACATGCAATCTGAGAGGCATACCAAGTCCTCCTGTGCTAACAAAACCTTGTCCAAAGACTCGTTCATAGCGTAGTATGCCACTACACTTGTACTGAACAGTATCCAAGAAACGCTGAAATTCCATGTCATCCTTAGAAGTAACCTTCTGCCACGTCCAGCAAATCTGCAAGGTGCAAGCAGCAACAAAACAGTGATTAGATAGTCAGGTTAATATCAAAATAACTAAAGGGTTCATGAGGTAAGCATAATTCTACCTGATTTTGATTCTTTTTGTTCTTCACATAAGCTCCAATGCACTTGCAACCAGCAAGAGAAAGTTCAAATGATTTTCCATCACCAGCATTTACGTGACATTCTCTGAAAACCTGTATTTGACAGCTATTTTCAGTACTTACTATACTTTCTTAGTAACAATTGAGAATGGGGCCAGCTATGTCCGGTGACTACTGATTGACGCATCAACTCAACTTATTCCCAAAGTGACTACTGACAAATGCATCGTTTCAAATTATTCATATTTCCATTGTGTAAAGATAGGTTTTTTGGTTAAATTATCTTATAGAAAGAGTGGTAATTTATAGTGCACGATAAAGTTTCAAAGCACTTCATCTTTTTGGTCTGGTAGAGTTCCAGAGCACTTTATGACAGAGAGGTGATCACTTAAGAAAACAGTATCAAACTCCAGAGAAAAGAAAATGCCTTATCTAGGGTTTACCAAAGAGAACCACTTAACTGGCAAAGAAAAAAGGACAGGAAATATACACAGAACTGTGAAAAGAAGTTACTACATGAAGACAGATAGTAGGTAAACACAGTAACATACTTCATACTTCAGCACTGTGTTGAATTAAATTTCAAGGATATAATAAATTTTCTTTTAATATGCAGCTCCCATAACATAATGTGGGACAAGAAAACAGTTGAAAGCAAAGTTTAGACCTTTGTATAAAAGCTAGGGTCTCGATAGTGGGTTGGGTTGTTCTTTCGCTTGTGGTCTCCTGATTGATGGAAGCATGACTCTCTGAAAAATATGTGACCACCGACTTTCAACCATATAACCATTCTCTCAACAAGAGCCTTAACCTGCAGCAAGGGTAGAAACGAGTTCAAATGTTTAAGTCACAAAAAAGTACAGCAATTCAAATCAGACAAAGGTATGGTGAGTGAGGAAGATCTCATACATAGACATTTTGGCAGCAAGCTACAAAGAGTGAGAAATATTTCTAACAGTTGTTACACCAGTAAGCTAACACCCATAATGGTCGCTGATATCTACAGGTAAGTAAATCATATGAAGTACACTGGTTGAAAAATAATATTAAAAGCTGATATTTAGTACAAAGCATATCATTCCAATTATAGTTGTCGAAGAGGTGCTCAAATTATAGATTGCCATATAGGGCTGAAAGCAATGTTTTCAACCTAAATCCATTGTGGAAATAAAGGTTAAATTCGTATTACATTAAGTTTTTATTTTCAACGATGCTGCTGTAAATCATGTTCTTGCAAAGAAAATGCTTCATTTTATTGAGGATCTTAGTCTGTCACTAAGTGAAAAACAAATTAGTTTAAACATGTGTGTGTGACATAGTTTAACTATTTTCCTGTATATTTTAAGCTTTGCCTAACCGTGATCATCTCTCCACACCACCACTAAAATAGTCTTTTAAAGGAAAATGCTTTAAATACTCAAAAGTAACCAACCAACATGATGAATATTAGCTAATATAGTAACTGTCTCATAGCCAGTCTTGCATAAATCTATATCCAAATTTGACACATTTAACTGGCGATTCGTTCTTTGTGTAGAATATAGATGCAACTACAATGATTTTCTATGTGGAAGATGAGGCAAATAAAAGAGAGAATTTACCTCTTCATCAGAAAGATACATCAGTAGCCAGTTAGAAAATATCAAGTCCACCGATTCCGGTGAAAAAATCAAATTCGGGGAAGTCACATCAGCACACATGAACTTGACATTCTTATAGTGCCCATTTATGTTTTCATTCTGCAAGGAAGCACATTAAAAGATAAGGATATGCACAAATATATTCTATGAGTTTATCAGTACTTATCAATTATGAAGAAATGACAAATGAATCTTCTAGACTAGTTCTTTTCTTTTCATCTTAGTCATTAGTAACCCTCCTCATTGACAGCACATGTCGGATGGAGACAGAAAATGCAAATATCTTAAGGGTAAAACAACTGAAAACCTTCTTAATTGCGCCTTCAATAAAGTCCAATGCTATAAGCTGTCCAGCTTTCTGGGCTAATTCACCAGTGAATCGGCCAATACCTGCACCCAGTTCCAACACAGTTTTTCCTTCATACGGCGGAAGCAGAGAGAGCACCTATATGACCATCCAAAAGTTTCAAATTTCGGGGAGATAGGTAAATTGTCTTACATGTAATCATGCCAACTCACAAAACAAACCAATTAGACCGTCTAGTTCGGCATCAAAATTAAGAACTAAAAAGTACCAATTCCTTCTCAAAGCAGAAAACAGATTCAATGAACTCAAAGAGGTTGGACCTCCAAAGAGGAGAGGCTGTAGTACATCAGTCTAACTAATGACCAAAACCCCCATACACTAGAATCTCAACCCTAGTTAGTGAATTTCACAACCAACTAATTTACATACCGAATGCTGGATCAGGAATACAGCTAGATATTAGCATTTAACAAAGACAATATATACATAGAAAACATCTGGGAAATGCCCAGAAAATTACGAGTTGAAGATAGCTTCAGTGTCAATCATAGTAAATATTTTAATAATTTAGTGCATGTGTCAGTCCCAGCTCCATCAGTCACTAGGAACCGATGACATTACTGAGTATGATTATTCTACATTGTCTTTAATCCTAAAAAAGAGCTGATGTTTGATTCTCAGTCTTCACCAACAACAATCCCTTGTGTCTGAATCTTATAGACGTAGATGGAACCATTTTAAATCTGAACCAGATATGTGTGGAAGACGTAGATGGAACCATTTTAAATCTGAACCAGATATGTGTGGATTTTAACTCATCGAGTAAACAAGTATTTGGTTATCAAACAGTA